TTTTTTTAATCCTCACTGGAGGGTATTTTTCCATTTATTTTCAGATAGGGAGGGAGAGAGAGAAACATGGATGTGAGAGAAACACATTGATTGGTTGCCTCCCGCATAACCCTGACCAGGGCCAGGGACTGAACCACAGCCCAGGTACATACCCTTGACCGGAATTGAACCTACAACTCTTTGGTCCTTTGGCCTACGCTCTAACCACTGAGCAAACCAGCCAGGGATAATTGGACTTTTATTAATCACTATTGATGTTGAACAATTTTTAATGAGGGAGTTGTATTTCTTTTATAAGTTGCCTGCTTTTGTTTGTTTTATTTAGACAGGGTTATTGGTCTTTTTCAGATTGATTTGAAGAGTTCTTTATGTATTAGAGCATTTGCTTTCTCACACATTGCACATTCCCACCTCCAGCTATTTTTTTGTAGTGTTGTATAGTTAGAGATATCCAACCTAGCACTGTGCTGCCTGACCTTGGGCACATTAATTAACTTCTGTGAGCCTTAATTTCTTTCTTCTTAGAAAGGAGATAATGTAAATAACATTTAGCACAGTGGCCCTCACATAGTAAGTAAATAATAAATGTTGGCTGTCTTCATTATTAGTTTGTATTTGGCTTCTGGTGTAATGCTCTACTTTAGAAAGACCTTTCTTGCTGTAACATTTACAATATTTACCCATCTACTGAATTGAAAATGCACCGTGAGGAATATTATGTAGAATATGCTATTGCTTGTTTTAAAAAGGAAAAATGGTGTATATCTATTTGCTTGTATGTCACAGGATGTTTCTGAAATGAAACTCAAGAAACTGGTAACATTATTTGTAGGAAGGAGAACTAAGTGACTGAGGTACATGCATGAGAAAAAGACTTTTGAACACACACCTTTTTATATTTTTAAAACAAGTCCTCAGATTTTAATTTAATATTGTTATGATTTCTTTCTATTCTTTTCTTTTTAACTTCTAATTTTTTTTGATCCATCTGGAATTTATTTCTGGTTGTGTGTTTTTTTCCACCAAATAGTCAGAAATGTCAGTACCATTTAGTGCATTAACCATTCTTTAGATTTACAACTTTTATTATTCATTGTGAATGTGTTTGGAAGTATTAAGTTCTATTATGTTCTCTTAATCTTTTGTTGTATATTACCATATTCTTTAAATTATTATTGTTTTATAGTTGTAATACTGGTAGAGTTAGTCACCTGTTAATTACTCTCTGTTTTTTTTTATCCTTTGATAATTCTAGTCTATCCTTTTGTTCTCATAGACTTTTATATTCTCAGTAGGTTTTCAAGCTTTAATTCAGTCGAGTTCTGTACATTTCTTATTTATTTTGTTCAACAAATATGGTAGGAAATCAAACAGGGAGTTTACATTCTATGGGGGAAGACAGAAGTATGTACATGTAATCAAGTAAAACAAACTAATTCATTAGGTTTTGATTAATCTGTAAAGAACAAAAAGGGTGATGTGATTGAGAGTAAGTAGTGTGGGCCTACCTTTTTATAGTGGGGTTGGGAAAGGCCCTTCTGAGAAGATGACACTTGAACTGAGACTTACGTTTAAAGAGGAATCAGCCACGTTACTATTCAGGCAGACAGTAAAGAAGGACAAAGGCCTAAGGCAAAAAAAAGGGCCCCTTAAGGTAAAAGAACTGGAAGTAAGCTGTTTTGGGGCCTACTGAACAATTGGGAGAGAAACAGTCCAGATAGTTGGGGTCTTGTGAGCCATAGTAAGTACTAGGATTTTATTTGAAGTTGCATGGTAAACCCTGGGGAGTTTTTTGTTTGTATGTTGTTGTTGTTTTTTTCTTGTTAATCCCCCCCCCCCGCGATATGTTTTCCATTGTATTTTAGTGGGAGGGAGGACAGAGAAGAAAGAAACATGGACAAGAGAGAGACACATTGATTGGTTGCCTCCAGCATGCAACCTGACTAGTGCCGGGGATCAAACCTGCAACCCAGGTACTTGCCCTTGACCAGGAATGGAACCTGTGACCCTTTAGTCTAAGGACCAGCGCTCTACCACTGAGCCACAACAGCCAGGGCAACCCTGGGGAGTTTTAAGCAGAAGAATGACATGTTCTGATATATGGTTTAAAAAGAATATTTTGAGTAGAGAAAGTACTGAAGTAGGAAGTCCAGTTAGGAGTTTTTTGCAGCGAGAGATAAGGATGAGGGAGTTGAGATGGAGAAGCATGGGAGGCTTGAGGATACAGTGGGTTTGGAAGGAAGAAGAGGACTTGCAGTTGGATGGGTTAAGCACTTTTAGGTGCTAGGGAGGCTATGTGAGCAAAACATAGATGGTCCCTGCCCTTACTTACATGTGTCTAGTGGTTTTATTTTTTATATACAAGTCAGTAAATTTTATTTTCAGTCAATTGCTTTTTTTCTACTTTATTTTGGTGTACACCTAGACATAGAGACTGTTCATTAGTCTTGTTTTATTCTGCTTCATAACTTTTAGCAGTCTGTCTATTAGTGGATCAAAGGAGAGCCAGCAGAACATGATCTTTAAGATAACTGTCTCTAAGTTAAAAAAATAAATTACCTTGAGGAAGTTACTTAGCCTTTTTAAAACCTTAATTAGGGAAAATAACTAGTGTTTTAGGTGAGTTTTTGCATGGCCATGCTGTTAGTACAGTGCCTAGTATACATAACAAAAGCTCAATAAATGGTAACTTTTTATTATTCTCCTTAGGTATTGTCATATCTATTAATTCTGGCCAGGTTCAAGTTTTTCTGATATTAATATACTGTTCTCTTTTGTGTTAATGGAAGAGAGAATTGACAGATAGTCGTCTTTTGGCTTTGAAATATATATATATTCATTCTTATAGTTGAAGGAGTGAATATTGTTCAACTCAGAGAAGTAGTTCAATATAATGCAGCCCCCAAGTTCTCAGTTGTGTGTTGTTTACTGTTATCCTGGGAAACTTTTTCTTTCTCATTTTATGTAGGGATAAACTAGAATTTATTTTTTTAATTAAAGAATTATATATTGAATGCCTGTATCCTTAGATTAATCAAATAATTATGCCCTTACTAATGTGTTTCTTTCAATATCATACTTTGTCGGTGTAGGATAATTTAACCTAAAAGGCTTCTTCTTTAGCTCCCATTCATCTATCTTCTAAGGGAGATAACATAATGTAAAAAGAAGCTACAGATAAAATACCTTGTTGATGCTATTCCTGCAGAGGAGCTCCCCCCACCCTCTTTTTTTTTTCTTTAAAGGGAAGAATACTTTGTTTCACAGGGGAAATTTTATTTCAGTTTAGCACCACTCTGATCTCATATAGACTACAGAATTCACTTAGGTGATTTCTAGTCTCTCTCCTTCTGAGGGCTGGACTCTGAGATGGGCTCAGAGGTCAGCTTTCTTTTCTCCTTTTTAAATTAAATTAAATTTTAATATTTTAATTTTTCAGTTACTGTTAACATACAATATTATATTAATTTCAAGTGTACAACCCAGTGATTAGACATTTATATAATTTATGAAGTGATCACCTTGATAAGTCTTGTACCCATCTGATACCATACATAGTTATTACAGTAGTATTAACTATATTCCTTATGCTGTACTTCACATCCTTGTTGGTTTTTTTAAGTTCTTAGTTTATTAATTCTCTTATGTAAAATCTGCACAGTCACCACAGATAAAGTCACTGAAGAATCTTTGTTCCTTCTGTTGTCCCATCTCCAGTTTACTTTTTGCAGCACCACCAATGCCTTTGTACTTCTAGTTTTCTTCTTGTGTTCCTTTCTTTTTTTTTATCCTCATCCGAGGACATTTTTCAATATTTTGTTCAGATAGAGTGGGAGGGAGAGAGAGAGAGAAACATCGACGCGAAAGGAACACATCGAGTGGTCGCCACCCGCACGACCCAACCAGGGCCGGGGACAAACTGCAACCGAGGTATGCGCCCTTAGTGGGAACTGAACCCGGGTCTCTCCGGACCGCAGGCCGACGCTCTAATCGCTGAGCCAAACCGGCCAGGGCCTTGTGTTCCTTTCTTGAAGTCATAATTTCTTCATGCAGGCCATGTCTTGTAAGTCTGTGTTTGGGTTCATTTCTCTTTGCGTGATCCCAGGAATCATAAATCACGCCAAAGCCAGATATCTTGCCACCACCAAAATGGGTTCTGAATCCAAACACAAAGATGACATCTAGAGTGGTCTTACACATTTTGGCAGGCTTCTCCTGAATTTGTGTCTTGGGTACTGTAACCTTTTCAGGGTGAAGGACATTTGTTTCTGATGAAGTAGTCTATTGGTCATGAGCTACCCAGCCCATACCGTTAACTCTGTTCTTCGTGATGGTGGCCCATCTTTTAGCAGCCAGGGAGCATAAACCTCGTGATTCAAAAATTTTTAAAATTGTTTTCAGTAATCTTCACCAGAGGACATGATTTTAGGACATGATGAGAGAGAGACAGAGATAGAGAGAGATATCGACTCATATCTTTCTGTACGCGTCCCGGCTGGGGATCAAACCCACAGCCTCAGTACATGCCCTGTCCGGGAAATCAAACCCACAACCTTTTGGTGTACAGGATGATGCTCCAACCAACTGCGCCACACCAGACAAGGCTGTGATTGTTTTATAGCTGGCAATTTGTACTTCTCAATCCCTTCCCCTTTTTCACCCATCTCTCAAGTCCCTTCCCATCTGGCAACTATCAAACTGTTCTCTGTATATGAGTTTGTTTCTGTTTGGTTTGTTTGATTCCATGTATAATTGAAATTATATGGTATTTGTCTTTCTCTGTCTGACTTACTTCACTTAATACCCTCTAAGTCCATCTATGTTACAAATGTCAAGATTTCATTATTTTTTATGGCTGAGTAATATTCCATTATATATATGTACCACATGTTCTTTATCCAACTATCAGTGGACACTTTGGTTTCCATATCTCTTTGAAATTTTGTTGTTGCAAGATATGTTTCCTGTTGAGTAAATGTGTGTGTGTGTCTTTATTACAGTACTCCCTCCATATCTGCAGGGGATGTTACCAGACTGCTTCATGTTGGGGGCTGGCCCTGCTCCACCACTGTCAGGGACATTTCGAGTGTCAGGTGACCTCCAGGTTCCTGATTCATTTAGGAGAAATTTCAAGACGCATACAGGTGAAAGTGAGAGTAAGTAAGTTTATTAAAGCTTGGGATAGTGAGGCAAAGGAAGGACCCTTGGAGACAGGATCAGGGGATAAGTCCAGGACAAGCTGCCACTAACCATTGCTTCCCTGGTTGCAAGTCCTGCAGGGTCTCTTACAACTTAGGATAGAAGAAGCAAAGGAAAAGAGAGGGCACAGGCATGCTAAAAGAAGAGGTCACGCTGGCGTTTTTTTGTCCTGTGAGTTTTACCTGTTTTCTGTAGGTAGGAGTTTTAGAGGAGGTCCCAGGGGTCGATCACAACAGAATATTCCTTAGATTTCCTGGTATGTCATTTAGTAGATTGATATACTAATATGAGCTTTATAGTGGGTCTTGGGTCATTTTCTGGTTAGTTTTACTTTTATCTTGGATTAGTCTGGCTTTAATTTGTTGCTGGAGTTATTGTTACCTGTCTTCCTGACTAAGGTGATTTAAATCACTTGCTCTTAGATATCTTTGGTTAGGGAGCATAGGTTTAAACCACCTGCTCTTAGGTATCTTTGGTGAGGGAGGATAGAAGCTTGTGAGTTTTCAGCTGGCTGTCAATTGCTCAGTTGTTCTTGGCTGTTCAGCCACTTGTCTCAGTTTTGTCATTCCACTTACCAGGGAATTTTCCTAGGTCCTTATTAACCTGCCTCAGGAATATGCTCCAAGATCCCCATCCAAGATGCCTAAAACGGGGGATAGTACTGAACCCTGTATATACTATATTTTTGTTTTTATACATACATACCTTTTCACTTAAAGGAACCAACTTACTTCCTTTGGCATATCCAAATTTCCAGCATCCACTGCTCTTTGTGTTTTGAGGCCATTGTTAAGTAAAATAAGGGTTACTGGAACACAAGCACTGCAATATTGCTACAATTGATCTTATGATCACCAAGACGGCTACTAGTGACTAATGTGTGAGTAACATACATTATGGGTATGCTGGACAAAGGAATGATTAGTGTTTAGGCAGGGTGAGGTGGGATGAAGTGGGATGGTGGGAGATTTAAATGTCATGACTTGTTTATTTCTGGAATTTTCCATTTAATATTTTTATATTTCGGTTGAGCATGAGTAACTGAAACCTCAGGTAAGGGGGGACTATGGTACTTTAACATGGGAAGAGGAATTTAAGTAGAGCAATTTCATTTTACTATATTTTATTGCCTATAACCGGATTCAAACCAGTGAACTCTTGGTTCATGGCTCGATACTCAACCACTGAGCCACACTGGCTGGACAATCAATGTAATGTTTTAATTATTCTCCATGCTAATATCAGAAGGGTGTCCATGACATAGGCAATAATGACGGCTACATCTAAATCATCTGAATTCAATGTCAAGTTTCCTCTCTCGTGGATCTTTTTGAAGTAGAGACAGGGTGCGGTATCTAATAGCTTGTAACATCCTTTGCAGCCTTTCTTTCCAAGCAGTTGCCAAATTCCACACTCTGCGTCTCCTGTAGAACACGCTTTGACCCAGCCCAAGCCCCTGTAAGTTCCTTCTCTGTCTTCCTGTTGGGATGAACATCGTCATAAAAGGGAAGGGGATTTGGTACTACTAGGGCTGAGAGGTTCGTGCTAGTACTTCTGAGACAGTTTAAGAGTCAGTTAAATCTTCTTTATTTTTAATCTTAACTGGAGGATATGTTTTTTATTTATTTCATTATTATTATTATTTGTTGTTAATCCTCACCAGAGGATATCTTTTCTGTTTATTTTTAGAGCAAGTGGAAGGGAAGGGGGTGGAGAGAAGCATCCGATGTGAGAGAGACACATAGATTGGTTGCCTCCTGAATGTGCTCCCCCAGCAGGGGTAGGAATCGAACCTGCAACCCAAGTATGTGCCCTAGACTGGGAATTGAACCTGTGACCTTTCAGTGTGTGGACCAACACCCTAATCACTGAGCCACACTGGCCAGGGCTATTTTCATTTTAGAGTGAGAGAAACAACAATGTGAGAGAGAAACATCAATCAGTTGCCTCTCTTATGCACCCTGACTGAGGATCATATCCGCAACCTAGGTATGTGCCCTGACCGGGAATTGGTCCGGCGCCTAAAGGTGCCCGGGACAACACTCCAACCAACTGAACCACCAGGCCAGGGCCAGCTGAATCTTCTTCACTCAGCATCTTAGAAGACCCCAAAGTCAAGGTTGGGTTAAACTTCTTTGGTAAGTCCATTGAAAGTTTAGTCACCGCTTCAAGCTCCTCCTAGATTCCCCCAAAGGGTTCCTGTGGAAGATGATGCTCAAAACTCTCAAATTGCTAGAGGAGCCCATAGAGAACTGTATAACCCAGAAATAGAAATAGCCAGGAAAGCCAAAATTCCAACAAAACGTGGTGAAAGAAAGAGCTAACCTTGTCTAGGTGTCTATCACATCGATGTTTCTCTCTGTCTCTCCCCGCCCCATCAGATGATAAATAGAAAAATATCCTCGGGTGAAGAATAAAAAAAAATAAAAGCTGAAAAACAATTTATACAGTGACTAACATGTGACAAACATAGGAAACAATACTATATATTTTATATATGTACATAATAAAAGCATGAATATATGAGATATACATACTTTAGGGTAATAGATACAACTAAGGAAGAAAAAGGATCTAGGAAGGGGGTACAATCTTTACTACTTTATTTCTTATAACAAAAACTGAAACAAGTATGATAAAATATTGTTTTCTTAAACACGGACATTTGCCCCTCACTATGCTTAGTTACCTGAGGATATTTTTGTATTTATCATCAGATAGAGTGGGGGTGGGGTGGGAGAGAGAGACAGAGAGAAACATCGATGTGATAGAACCACATCGACTAGTTGCCTCCCCCATGACCAGGGCCAGGGACGAACTGCAACCAAGGTACGTGTCCTTGACCGGAATAGAACCTGCAATTCATTGTTCCCCGGGCTAATGATGTAACCACTGAGCAAAACCAGCCAGGGCTCAGCTTTATTTATTTATTTTTTTGAGGTTATATGTTTTGAAACATAATAGCTTTAGTTTTTTTCATTGTACCTGCTGTATAATATTTTACTATATGAATATACTACATTATGGAATTTAAGTTGTCTTCAAATTTGCCTTTTGCATTGCTGCGATAAATACCCTTTTGTATGTAAATATGTGAGTTTCTGTAGGGTATATATTGAAATTGCTGTGTTGTAATGGATCACATTTCAGAACAGTGTGGAAAGGCAGACCTGTTCAGTAACTGTCAATTAAAGAAAATACAGGTAGTATCCCCCTCTACCTAACCAGATTTTAGAAAAATATTTAGGTGATTAAGGAGCTAAATATTAAAAAAAAATAAAACTTTAAAAAGTATAAGAGGAGAATGTAGAAGAATATTTTTTAAATTGGGGGTACAGAATCTCTTCAGAAAGATGGAACAAGTTATGAATTCTGGAAGAAAATACAGTTAAGCCCTGGCTGGTTTAGCTCAGCGGTTAGCGCATCGGCCTGTGGTCTGGACAGACCCGGGTTTGGTTCCCGCTAAGGGCATGTACCTTGGTTGCAGTTTGTCCCTGGCCCTGGTTGGGTTGTGTGGGTGGCAGCCACTTGATGTGTCCCTTTCACGTTGATGTTTCTCTCTCTCCCTCCCACTCTATCTGAACAAAATGTCCTCCGGTGAGGATAAAAAAAAAGAAAATACAGTTAAGTCCTCACCTAACTTCCTAGGTAGGTTCTTCCATATATAACTGAAACAACTTTTATCAAAGGCTAATTGAAATAAACAAGATTGACTTTCCTGTGGAGTCTCATCAACATGATAATGTAACAGTGTTGAATGGAAATGACTTAAATTGAGGACCTGCTGTATTTCATTTTCTAAATATATACCCTTCGAAACCCCTCCCAATGACCTCTACCCCTTTCCCCCCTGCATCCTCAGGCAAGGCCAGCCTCTCCCCTTCACTTTTTTTCTGCCTCCTGCTTTGCCTTAAGGCTTTTGTAGTCCTCCATGAAATGCTCTTATCTCTACCAGGCCAACTGGTCTTCTCTTTCAAGCTTTGGCTCAAAAGTCATCTTAACTGCACTGGGACAACAGCTGTAAATTGGGTTTATTTCAGGAAATCAGGGCATCTAGTCATCCTAGCTGAGGTTGGCTTTCAGTGATCACCCCATCAGAAATGTCTCTCTTTCCATCTTCTCTCATTCGGTTTTAGTTATAGCACCCTATGGTATTACTCCATGATTATTTATTTTCTATGTCACCTCACGGTAAAATGACATATCTTGGTCACCATTCTGTGCCACTGTTTATAACAGTGTTGGTACATAGTGAGTACTATTTGATAAATATTTGTTGAATATATGACATTTCTGTCTTTGGTCTTAAAATCTTGTGAAGATACGACAAATACATGAAAAATTGAACACTAATGGTATATAAAAATTTTACATTATAAAACAAAATGTTCTCATCTATATAGACTTTATGTGGTATACTCTAAATAAAATTTCCCATTAGCTAAACTTTATAAAAAACAATTTTCTAAGCTCATGTATTAAATATTTCAGACAATTCCTTGAGAAACAGTTTCAGGCATTCATCTTTGGGTATCTGTATTGAATAATCAAATAAATTCCTAGAAGTGGAACTGCTGTGGTAGAGAATATGAGTATTTTCAAGGCTTATGGTGTATATTGCCAGTCTTCTTTAGAAAGCACTGTGTACTCATTTTACATACCAATAGTGTGTAAAGGAATGCCTTATTCCAAACTCTCACCAGCATTAGACATTATTTTTTAATATTTTGCCAATTTGGGGAGTGATTTTATTTTATTTTTTTGTGACTGTGACTTTATTAATTTTATTTCCTTTGTTAATCCCATATTCTTGTCATGTGTTAAGTGTCTGTTGTGATCATTTTTTTCTTATTGATTTGTAAGCATTATATTTGATTTATCAGAATTTTTCTATTGTACTTTTTCTATTTTGTGGCTTGGCATTTAAAGTTGTCTTTGCTGTACAGAAAAATAAAATATATTTTTTAAGTTAAATAACCAACCTTATTTGTGCTTTTGGTTTGTGCTTAGGATGCCCTTCTCTTTCCCTAGTATTTATATGTATTTTTGTTAGACTTTTTTCAAAATACTGCAGATGTTACCTGGTCTTTCAAAGGATCTCAGATTGGAAATCAGTTTGAAAATATTATTGTCCTTAATTTTCTTGCCTTATCCTAAGGGTCAGGGAACAAAGGGAAGAAAAGCAAATGGTAATTTCTGTTCTGTGAGCTTTCCAGGGGGAAGATTTAGGACAGAAACCAAAGATTTACTGGACACAGTAACTCTCTAATACTGTATTTCAGCAAAAAGATGTCTTTGCTTATAAGATAATGTTATTTATCTCTAAGATTAAGGAAAAAGTGCTGATAATTAAACCATAAAGTGTCATTGGTTGTAGGATGCATATTGACTTCAGAGTTTTTAAGATATGAACACAGGCCCTGGCCAATTTGGCTCAGCGGATAGAACGTTGGCCTGCAGTCCAGAGAGATTCGGGTTTGGTTCCCGCTAAGGGCGCATACCTTGGTTGTAGTTTTTCCCTGGCCCTGGTTGGGTTGTGCAGGTGACAGCTACTCTATGTGTCCCTTTCATGTCGATGTTTCTCTCCCCCACCCCCCATCTGAACAAAAAATGGAAAAACGTCTGCAGGTGAGGATAAAAAAAAAAGATACGAACACAGGGGGATATTAAAATCCATGAAATCTGTTATATATTATCTTGGACTGTGGCACAATAATTTCTAAATCCTGTGGTTGGCTTTGTATAGTTTTATTTGTTTTGGGCTTGGTAATTTTTAAAAAACAGCTTTATTGAGATATAATTTGTATACCATACAATCCATTGATTTCTTTTATTTTACAATGCAGTGGTTTTGAATATATTCAAAGGTATATACAAGCATCACTACAGTCAACTTTAGAACATTTTCACCACCTCAGAAAGGAACTCCAATACAGAGCTATATTATTTAGCCTTGAAAAGCAGGGTAATTTAGATTTAATGCTGTTGTAAAGGTAAGCCTTGAAGACATGCTAAGTGAAATAATCCAGTCACAAAAGGACAAATACTGTATGATTCCACTCATAGGAGGAATAGCCAAATTCATAGAGGCAGAGAGTAGAATGGTGATTGCCATAGGGAGGGGGAATGGGGAGTTAAGAGTTTAATGGGTTTAGAGTTTCTATTGGGGGAGATGAAAAAGTTCTGGAAATAGATGGTAGTGATAGTTGCACAACAATATGAATATACATGACGCTACAGAGATGTACACTTAAAAAGGCAAATATGGTCAATTTTATGTTGTGTGTATTTCACCTGCTGTTTCTTCATCCCCACCTCAACATCCCTGAGCAGTCACTAATCTACTTTCAATAACTATAGATCTGACTATTCTGGACTTTAATATGAAAGGAAAAATACAAAATGTGTATTGTTATGATTGGCTTTATTTTACTTAGCATAATGTTTTCAGGATTCATCCAAGTTATAGCAGGTATCAGTACATCATTCTTTTTCATGGCAGAATGATATTTCCTTGTATGGGTATACCTGATTTTATTTATTCATCACCAGTTGATGGAAATGACACTTGGGTTGTTTCCAAGGTTTGTATAGTTATTTTGGGACTTGAGATATTACAATTCTAAGAAATAAAAACCTACTCCACTTATATTTAGTAAAGGAGGACTGACTATAAGGCTGTAGTTCAGTTCAACAGGTATCCAAGCACAAGGAAAGAAATACAGTGGTCTCTTGTGGGGCTGACCCTGGAGTGACGAGTCAGGAGCCAAGGCACCTGCTGCTGTGTCTTAGGGGCCTGCGCGTTCTCTTGGCTCTTCTCTATGCATGTCTCCTCTAGTCTGTGTCTGGATTGGTGTTCTCTGCTTCCCCTGTAACTTCTGTGGTACACACTTTGGTTCATCTTGACTCCCACTGTGGCCACTTTGCGATTCAGTTTCCTATAGCTCATGTTCTCAATTCCAAATCCTTAAAGAGGGATATAATTAGTACATCCCTGGTTCTGTAGGGTAGTGCACTTGATACAGGCGTGATGTCAAAACCACACCTTAACTAGGGGTAGGTTCTCTAGAAGGACTGTGTGCATATGGACCTGGGCATGACCAACCTGTGTAGGACACTAGTGCTAGTCAGTTTAAAGATTGACCTAGTTCTCTAGGCTGGTGGTCATCAAACATTTTGATCTCAGACTCATTTATACTCTTAAAAATTTAGAACTCAAAGAGCTTTTGTTTATGTGGGTTATATGTGTTGATACTTATTTACCACATTAGATATTAAAATGTGGAAAATTATAAAGATATTTATTCATTTAGAAATAATATATACCCACTTAATGTTAATATATATATAACATTTTTATGATACCTATTTCCTCAAATTAAAAAACAATTTATTGAGAAGAGTGGCATTATTTTACATTTTTGCAAACCTCTTAATATCTGGCTTAAAAGAAGATAGCTTGATTCTCATATCTGCTTCTACATTCAGTCTTACAATATGTTGTTTTGATTGAAGTTGATGAAGAAAAGCTAACCTCATACAGATAATGTAATTGGAAAAGGAAGGGCATGTGTGTGTGTGTGTCTATATATATATAAATATATATATATATTTTTTTATCCTCACCTGAGGACATTTTTCCACTTTTTGTACAGATAGAGTGGGAGGGAGAGAGAGAGAGGGGGAAACATCGATGTGAAAGGGACACATCGAGTGGCTACCACCCGCACGACCAACCAGGGCCGGGGACAAACTGCAACCAAGGTACATGCCCTTAGCGGGAACCGAACCCGGGTCTCTCTGGACCACAGGTGGACGCTCCAACCGCTGAGCCAAACCGGCCCGGGCAGGAAGGGTATATTTTTGATACCTAAACTAGAAAAGTGATAATTTTTAAAGATTAGTTGCTGTGTAGAATCTGAAACCGTATCAGAGAATCTTTTATATTCTGTCACAATAAATATTTATTGGTTTTTTATGTACTTTATTTAATTGTGGTAAAATATCTTGTGCTTTAAATAAATATTCACACATGATTTTATAATCTGTATTAGTCATTTGGAAAATATTGATTCATTGAGTTATGCAGGTATTTCAAATGTTGCAACCTTTTATTATATAATATCAAAAACTCACACTTAATATCACCACAAGTCTTGTCAGAAAAGTCTTTGAATGTGGGGACATTGTCAAATTCATGGTGGCAGATGCACGTTTTTCCGAAATTCAAATTTTCACAAATATTGGCAGTTGTCTTTTTGTTGTTGTTAATCCTCACCCAAGGATATTATTTTCCATTGTTTGTTTGTTTTTTCTACAGAGAGTAGAAGGGAGTTGGGGGAGGGAGGGAGGGAAAGAGAGAAACATTGATGTGAGAGAAACACATCTATTGGTTGCCTCCCGCACTCACCCCAGCTGGGGCCAGGGATCGAACTTGCAACCCAGGTGTGTTCCCTTGAATGGGAATTGAACCCAAACACTGGTGTGTGGGCTGATGCTCTAACCACTGTGCAGCATCGCCAGGACTGCAGTTGTTTTCCTTGAAGCGATAATCTCACTTTGTTTCTTCCTTGAAAGCTTTCCCATTTAGTGCCTTCTTAGATGATCATTTTGGGGGCAGGATTATTTAACAAAAACAATGTTTCCTTATAAACACTCTTGAATCCTTTTAACCATTGACTTTTTTATCACCCCAGAATTTACAATCATAGATTTTTGTTTTTGCAATATATATTTGTTTCTCAGACTTTTATAGAAAGACATTTACTGAGCAGTTGCTATGTGCCACGTCCCATGTTTTTACTTTATATAGCTGCTGATATTATTTGTGATATATTAAAAAACCTTTTTTAAGCGTAAAGGGAAAAACCTGTTAATGTTTTTTAAACATCAGTAATTTCCATTATATTAAGTAAATACATGAGAGAACGCTTTTACTGGTAATTGTGGTTTTATTTATGTAGCTATCGTTATAATTTATTAGAAGTACACCTGGTGCTTTAGTTCTTATCAGTTCTATTTTTTCCCATTCTGTTTAGGTGGTTTCCTAGAAACATGATTGTTTGTTGGACTTGATCTCACAGCCTCGTGAGGACTTCTTTACTGATAATGTCAAGTTCAGGTTATCCTCCCAACCAAGGAGCATTCAGCACAGAACAAAGTCGTTATCCTTCCCACTCTGTTCAATACACCTTTCCCAACACCCGGCACCAGCAGGTAAGGAACACATACTGTGCAAATTGCATATGCATTTTGTGTTTTTCTTTTCCTATTATGTTTGTTGGTCAGAAACCAAATGTAGTTGATATATATAACAGCAAGAAGCATTCTCAAAGATGGAGAACTAAAGGTTGGTGATTAAATTATCTTTGGTGTCTTATATGGCTTTATGACAGGGTGACCATGTAGGATTTTGTTGTAGGATTTGATGTGATTGATTGTAGGATTTATTGATAGAAGAATATCAGTTACCTAGAGTTTCTAGGTTAAGACCTATGTTTGCGCTCCAAGTTTTGGTTGAATATTAAGCTGGCAAGATAACTGGGTCTGTTTTGAGTGATGATGGCCAGGATAGGGCCACTTCCTTCTTGAAAGATTTGATGGTAGGAACACGAAAGAGTTTGTATGATTGATTTACCTTGTGAAAAATATAATATGAGATGAAATGGTCATTCAGAGAAGAAAAAAGCAAGTTTACCAACAAAATATAGTTGAGTATTACTGGGTACTACTGAGGATTTCTTCGAAGTGTGGTCATGCTTACAGAGTGAGAATGGATATTCTTACCTTGTTTCTGTTTAGGGAAGCATTCAGTCTGCCACCATTAAATGTAGTATTAGTGGCACATTTTTGTAGATGCCCTTTTTCGGTTGAAGAAGTTGCTTTCTAGATTGAGAATTTTTGTCTTGATTGATTGGGTGTTGAATTTTGTTTGCTTGTCCTCCCTCCCCCCAGTGCTATTCATCTTATTACTAATTTCCTAGATTATCATTGCTTCTTTTTTTTTTTTTTAAATTACCTTTGGGATTTAGTTTATACATGATAAAATTTAAATATATATATATATGTGTGTGTATATATATGTGTATACATTTTGACAGATTTATACTCCTATAAAACCAACACCAAAGTGAAGATATATAACATTTCTATGCCCCTGAAAGTTCCCCTTTCTCCCATTCAGATCAGGCCTCCTTCCCCACTTCCCACAAACCTTAGCTCACAGGAAACCACTGATCTGCTATCTGTCATAATAGATTATATTTGTCTTGAGTTTCATGTGAACTCTTTTATCTATGGTTTCTTTTGCTTCTCATAATATTTTTGAGATTTATTTATGTTTTGGCACTTCTCTCAAAGTTAACTGTTTTTTAACTGCTTGGTGGGGTGACACACTACAATTTGTTTATCTAGTTACCTATCTCTGTTTTTGGTTATTGCAAATAAAATTATTTAGAAAAACATGTATCTATGTGTTTGTTGTATTTAAATTATATAAAGAAGTATTGCTTTATTCTCTTAATAGTATCCTTTGAAGAATATATGTATGCTTTTTTGTTGTTAATTCTCAATCAGGGATATTTTTTCTTTTTTAAATAAGTTTTTTTTTTTTTTTAGAGAGAGATAGAAACATCAGTTGTCTGCCTCCTGCACAACCCCTACTGGGGATTGAGCCCACAACCTGGGCATGTGCCATGACCGAGAATCAAATCGGGACCTCTCAGTCCATGGGATGATGGTCAATCCACTGAGCCACACCAGCTGGGCAAGAATATTCTTTCCATTCATTTATTTTTTAAAGAGAGTGGGAGGGGAGACGGATAGATTTGTTGCCTCCTGCAGGTGCCCTGATAGGGGCTAGGGATGAACCTGCAACTCAGGGATGTGCCCTTGACCGAGAATTGAACCCACAACCTTTTGGTCCACAGGCTGCATTCTAACCACTGAGCAACCACTGGAAAGGCCGGATGTTTTTAATTTTTATCAAGTCCAGTGTATTAATTTTGCCTCTTCTATTTCTTGCTTTTTTGTCATATTTAAGCAGTTTTTGCCAAACTCAAGTTCATTAGATTTTCTCCTAATTTTTATAATTTTGAATTTTACATTGAAGTCTGTGACCTATTTTGAATTAAAATTTTATGGTGTGAAATAAGGGTTGTTTTGCATGTAGGTATTCAGTAGTTCTAGAAACCTTTTGTTGAAAAGATTATTTTTCCTCAGTGATTTACGTTGGTACTTTCACTGAAAATCAATTGACCATGTATGTACAAGTCTATTTTTGTTCTCTCTACTGTTCCATTGATATATATATTGTTTATCTTTATTGCACATTGGTGCAATATTCTATGTACATAAACATTTCATCTTTTTGTTTGTTTGTTTTTAATCCTCTCTCGAGGATATTTTTCCATTTATCTTTAGATAGAGTGGGGAGGAGGGGGAGAAAGAGAGAAGCATCAGTGTGAGAGAGACACATCAATTGGTTGCCTCCCACATGACCCCAACCAGGGCTAGGGACTAAACCACTATGTGCCCTTGACTGGTATTGAACCCGCAACTCTTTGGTCTGTAGGGTGACGTTCTTACTGCTGAGCCAAACTGGGCAGGGAAAACATAAATCTTTTAATAAATAATTTCATATAGTCTTGAGAGAAAAAATGGTGATGGAGTGAATGGAAGCCACACAGACAATCTCTCAGGACCAAACGGGAATTGCAACTAAAATAAAGACAAATCGTCGAACAAAAGAAACAGAAAAGCATTGGGAGAGGACCATATAAGCCAGGGACACTGGTAGGATCTGTGGAGGCGTGAGAGGGTAGTGGGCTGGGAGCCCACAGATAGCAGTTTTAGCAGTGAGCAGTGCCCTCGGGGTTAAAATCTCAAGCTTGCTCCACAGTGCGGAGGGCCCGGACAGAGCACTAGATTGGCTACAGCCACTCACCTTGGGCTCCTGCAGAGGGAGGGCATACTGGACTGGAACTCTGTGGGAACACCTGGGGATTTGGAGGACACTCAGAGTTTTTGCTGAGTTGTGGCCACAAAGGATGGTGCCCAGCTTGCTCCTTCCCGGAGCTGCCGGGAGAAACAGCAGCCCCTCCCTCGGATATTCAACCCCATACAGGTGAGCCACAGAAATGCAGATTAACAATCATCCTCTTCCCTACTCTGGAAATCCTGTTACGCAGAACACCTGAGGGCTACATCCCAAGGCCCTAAGTAACTGAGACTGATAGCCACCAGGCAAAAAGCTAGAGGATAACTGAACCTTTCCTGGGCTTACAAATCTACCCAGGAAAGTAAGACTTAACGTGGGCCCTCCCAGGCTCATCCAAACCCAGTACAGGGGAGCCACAAACAGCAGAACACCAACACCCACAGGGAAAATTTGGCAAGCTCCAAAACCCACTGAGATAGCTAAAATGGTGGAAAAAAAGAAACAAATCCCAAATGAAAGAATGAGAACTCTACCAAAGATGAGATAAATGAAATGCAGTTAAGCAAATTATCAGAAGTAGAGTTCAGAGCCATGATCTTGACGAAGCTTAACAGCATGAGTAAAGATATGGGAACACTGAAAACCAACCAAGTGGAAATGAAGAATGACATACCAGAAATAAAGAACACATTGGAAGGACTAACCAGCAGAGTAGAGAAAGCTGAGGACCAGATCAGTGAATTAGAAGACAGGTAGAAAAAAATCAACCAACCTGAAAACCAAAAGGAAAAAACAAGTAAAAAATGGGAAGACACCTTAAGCGAACTGTGGGACAACTGGAACTGTAATAACATTCACATCATAGGAGTCCCTGAAGAAGAAGAAAATGGGCAAGGATTAGAGAATATAGTTGAAAAAATAGGAACAGAAAACTTTCCTAACTTGGTGAAGGAAGAAAGCATTCAACAAGCACAGAGAACCCCAAGAAAGAGGAACCCAAATAGGCCCACACCAAGACACATAATAATTAAATTGCCAAAAATTAAAGACAAAGAGAACTGTAAAGGCAACAAGAGATTAGCAACAGGTTACTTACAAAGGAACCCCCATAAGGCTATCGGATAACTTCTCAACAGAAACACTACAGGCCAGAAGGGAATGACGTGAAGTAATCAAGGTTATGACAAACAAGGATCTGAATCCAAGACTACTCTACCCAGCAAGGCTATCATTCAAAATAAAAGTTCAAATAAAGAGCTTCCCAGACAAAAAAAGGACAAAGGAATATATTAGCACCAAACCAGTACTGCAAGAAATGTTAAAAGGACTGCTCTAATTAGAAGAAAGGGGAATAAAAATATAACCACAATAAACAAAAATGGCAATTGATACATACATATCAATAATCACCTTAAATGTAAATGGATTGAATGCTCCAATAAAAAGACACAGTAGCTGACTGGATAAGAAAGCATGACTCACATATATGTTGTTTACAAGAGACTCACCTCACAAAAAAAGACTCACATAGGTTGAAGTAAAGGGATGGAAAACAATCTTCCAAGCAAACAGAAAGGGAAAAAAAACTGGGGTAGCAATACTCATAACTGATAAATTAGATTTCAAAATGAAGGCTATAACTAGAGACAAAGAAGGCCACTACATAATATTGAAAGGATCTATCCACCAGGAAGATGTATCCTTGGTAAACATATATGCACCCAATGTAGGAGCACCGACATATATTACAAATCTTTTTGAGGACTTCAAAGGAGAAATCATCAGCCATACAGTCATAGCAGGGGACTTCGACCCTCCACTGACATTACTGGATAGATAACCTAGACAAAAAATTAACAAGGAAACAAAGACCCTAAAAGAACACTAGGTCAAATGGATTTAATAGATATCTACAGAGAATTACACTCCCAAACTGCAGAATTCACATTCTTGTCAAGTGCACATGGGACATTCTTAAAGATAGACCACATGTTAGGGTGCAGACTAAATCTCTACAAGTTCAAGAAGATTGAAATCATATCAAGCATCTTCTCAGATCACAATGGCATGGAACTAGAAATCAAATGCAACAAGAACATGCAAATACATTTGGAAACATGGAGGCTAAATAGCATGTTGCTGAACAAGGAATAGGTCACCAAGGAGATCAAGGAAGAAATTAAAAACTTCCTGGAAACCAATGAAAATGGACACACAACAACACAAAATCTATGAGATGCAGCGAAAGAAGTTCTGAGAGGGAAGCTTATAGGACTAC